GGGAGCCGGGCAGGGTGCGCCGGGACATGCCTGGGATGGAGTCGGCCGCTGAAGAGTGGCGATGTCCCGAGGAGTTTTCCCGGAGCAGCCCGGGAGCGGGCCGGGGAGAGACGGAGATGCTGAGCCGGTGCGGGGCCCTCCGGAGCGGGGCTGGCCCCGGCCGATACGCGTTGCAGAAGGAGCCGCAGCCCACCCTTCCTCGTCCTGCCCTTCTTCCTGCCCTAATAACCCTGCGAAGCCCCAAAGTTGGGCTCTGTATCCACATTAAGTCGGTGACCCCATTTAGCCCTCTCAGGCAGGTACCCAGTGGTCTCATGGTGCCAGGAGCTCCCCAGGTTACACAGAAGATGAGGATATTTAGGTGCCCGATAATACGCTTTCGGATCCCAATGCTAGGTAGTCTTGACTTTAGAGCTAACATCAGGGTTTAGCTTGCATTGCATGCCACTCAGGACTGCTGGTTGTTAAGTACTCTTGAGTCACTTAGCTTTCTCTAAATCAGAGTAGGCAATTAGGAAGGAATAAGGAAACATTAATATTTTTGTTATTTTCAGACTTTGCCGCTTTCCTCCCCAGGAGCAGTTGAAAGGACGCTTTCTGCATTGTACTTGGGTCTAATTTTAATCCTAACAAATTTGGGGCATCTGATTGGGTTAAGATTTTTGAAACTTCTTGGAGGGAAATTTTGTCAAAGGTTTATTAATACAGTGAGGCAGTAATAAACTTAACAAAGAAATGTGTGCGTGCTAAGCACCCCAATGCAAACAGAAGAGAAGCCTGTTTCTGCACATTTTGTTGGTTTAGTTTGTATTTTCCCCCCTTATTTCCAGGTTCTTCAAGAGCAGCTACTCGCAGTTGCCAGCTTCCCTCCATGTGGTGCCCCAGCATGCCTTGTGCTGGTGATGCCACACACACCATTCATCTGCCCTGGAGAATGGAGCCTACCTCTGGGGTAAGGCAACAGGCACAGCCCCAGAGGCCTGGCTCCTGCAGGGTCAGCAGCAGTGGTCTGTGGGAGGGAGTGTGGATTGCGAGCCTGTTCTCCTTCCACGTGTCCACGCTTCCACCTAAGTGGGCTTACTCTTTTATTTCCAACCAGATGTCCAGGGCATCCCATGCATAGTTCTGACCTAAGCCTCAGTCCTCCCTTTGAAACACCTGCTCTGAAATGCAGAGAGGGAGGGTTGGATTTAGGGTTAAAAAAACTTGCTACAAAATCCAGACTTGGGGTAAAGTAATCTGGGTGCTCACCTTTCTTCACCAACAGTAAGTAGTTTTCTAAACTTTTCCTTGTCCTTAATAATTTCCAGTCTTGTGGGCCAGTGGGCCACAGATACTGCAAAGAAAGGTTTAGGAAGCAGTACGGGACTGAGAAGAAAACCTGGGTGCATTTACCTTCCTTCTGAGGCAGGCTCCGCTTTTTATTGCTGATGAATGGTGGGTGTGATGCCTCGCAGACTACATAAGAGAGCACCGCATGAAGGGGAGCTGGAGACTCTCAGGTGGTTGTAAGACTTTAACATTGTCATAAAGCACTAGGAACTTCATGATTTCTTTCGTGTGCTTCACAGATGCGCTTGTGTACAGTACGCTTCTCCCAAAGACTGAACAGATTTGCAGCAAAACTGATGAGATTGTTGTAATGGTGTGCTGCTCAGCTGTCACTGTCAGTATATCCTGCAAAAATAGGAGTAATAGAGAGACTGAAGGGAAGAATTAGAGCCTCAGGCAGAAAAGGCATACAAGGGTTCATAGTTCAAGGCAATTCTAGCTCCTGGTACCAATACTGTGACCAAAGGTGAAGCTGGTTTAATGATAATGATGTTTTAAAGCTACATATTCCTTGGGGTCCATGTATGTAGCTTTTAGAGATGTTGCATTGTGATGGCCACATTTAGTCGTTTCTGGATAACCCACAGGGACTGAAAGTTCTTTGAGGAAAAAAAGCTGAGATTTTCAGAAAGCTACAGGAATTTGGGGCTGTAAGAGAAACATAAATTCTTTGAAGTATTAGCAACACTGTATTATGGCTCCTCCAAAAATGCATCCTCTTAGATGGGGTGGTGGACTTGAACTCAGTGGTCTGTAGGAGGAGCTATGACAACCCTCCGTAAGAATGGGACTTTGGAAGGTTAGAGGTATATGAGAAAGCCTTTTACCTGTATAAAACCTGAATATTTGCAGTGCTAGTTTGATTTAAGGCATCTGTAGAAATCTACCAGACAAAGATGTTAATTCCCAGACCTTGTTGCTGCACTGTAACATAGTGCTTGAAAAACTGAACTGCTTACAGTTTGTGGACTGAGAAGTAGCAGCAGAATTCTTAGGTAATATACTATATTTAGGTATATAATGCTGCATAATAGTATTTTTCTAAGTTTTTTAACCTGGTTGAACACAGTAATGAAAAAAAAAAAGTTCTGTTCTTCTTTATCTTTTTCCATTCCGATTCCAGCTTGTAATTTTTCTCTTCTGAAGGTGGTAGACATTCAGTCTTTTCCAGGAAGGATCGAAACAAGTGTAGTGAAGCAAGAAAGCCAGGGACAGTATTTAACTTGCTTGCAAAAGAGATCTAGTACTATATGTTCACTGGATAAGCTCTCACATGCTGAGGCAGACACAGTAGGAGCTAACAAGTAAGAAAAAATGTTAGGTGCAAACTTTCCACTTGACACATTTATTTGTAGTAAACATTTAAATGCGCAACTTCTAGTATTAAACAAAATTCCTCTTGTCTTTTACCAGTTTTGACCACCTAGTTATAATAACAATAGTACTAGTTATCATTCGCTGATTTGGTTAATGAGACCAAAGAGCTAAAACTTGTTTTGCTGAGGCAGAGGGGATGAAGGCAGCTGTGCCTGAAGGCATCGGTGGGACTCTTATGTGGGCCCAGTGGCCAGCCTTACTGAAAAGGGAGGTCTAGTTGCCAGGATGTTCCTCTTACCTGGCTTTCAGACACTGGAAAGTTCATCCACTCTGCACCCCAGGTTCGCCACAGAAGGAGGTATACAATAGGCAATCATCAGCTTTTATGTAGGGCAGGTATGGCAGATGCGAAGAAGCATAAGATACACTGATGAAATCCTGTATGAGGGAATACCAACACCTGGTGCCAGGTAAGTCTTGTAGACTGTACACACAAACTAGGGATGTGGTTTTAGCCCCTAGGATGCTGTAATCCTCTTAGGTGTTGTTTCTGTGAGATAACCCAATGACTGAAGTACCAAATGCTTGTTCAAAGGTAGATAGGCATGCTGGCATTTCAGGATTGTTGCTTACTGAAATCCTCTGCAGTATGTTTCTCTGTTGATGAGCTTTTGGTACAGTCTTGAGTTCTGAGTTAAGCTCATGCTGCAGCTGTGGCCTAGGGATATTACTGTTATGTGCAGTGAAAAGCATCTAACCGTTTCAGAATGTATTGACATATGTTTTTACAGAGATGACTAACAAGCTCTGTGAACCATATTTCTCCTAAATACCTTTTAGTATTCTGCTGAGAACAGGTATTAATCCCTCCTTTTGTAATTTTGTAGTAGTATTTCAAGTAACCTGATCTGTATATCAGAGTGCTCTGTCAATGTAATAAATGGGACATTCTGAACACATTCATATCGCTTCTGATACAAGGTATTGTCTGAAGTACCTCACAGTTGCTCCTAGTAGTTGTTGTATAGATATCCTTTGGAAAAAAAGTTGCAGTTCCTCAGATTAATTTTGTTTTTCATTAATTGGTCTTTCATGTTATCCGTTCTTCTCATAGTCTCTATGAGTTTCATAACAATTGGTGTTTTTCTTCAGGAAAACATTCACACAGTTCACCAGGAAGAATGTGAACACCTATGAATTTCAGCTTTCATTTTTAAAAACAAGAAAAAAATTTCTAAGCATCCTAGAAACTAGTTGTAGAGAAAAACATAAAAAACCTGTGAGTCTCTACATTCAGGAAGCAAATAACTGTTGGATTTTTTGTTTGTTTGTTTTTAATGCCATGTTTTTAGAGACTCGTTGCAGGATTTATTTGAATATACGGCATGGGCAGAATGAGGACTCAGACTACAAATATAGATTTGGAAAATGCCTGATATAAAAAAAATTACAATTGTAATGCTGTAAAAATAGTCAAATTCTACTTTGTACAGTAAGAGTGTTATTTCGTGACAGAGTTGATCACTATGACTTTCAACTGCATTTATTCATTTGGACAACGTGCAGTGTATATTTCTTCATGACTTTTAAAACTTCTCATAAACAGAGATTAAGGCAGAATAATACATGGCAAGACAGTAAAACAGCTATCTGAAGGCATATTTAGATTGATAAGGGAAAATAGATTTTTACATCTGTAAAAATGAGTTGCAGGCAGTTAAAGCAATGCAATTTTAGAAGCATAGCCTCAAAAGTGCACAATTTCAGTATGGTATACATAGAAAATATAGAAACAAAAATATGAAAAATACAGAGAATATGAAGTCTAATTATCATAATACCTTTCTGAAGTAATGAGAGTAAAACTTGAGAGTATGGCTGACAAATGGGTAGTGGACTGACAAGCAGAAAGTGTGCATTCCATCAAAAGATAAACAGAAGTCCACAAAAGATAATTTATATTGGATAGAGAAGGATATGTAAAGTGAGAAGCATCCTAATACATAATTTTCAAGGTATAACTTGGACTAATGGCTGAGGCTTGTCTTGCATGAATACCTTTTTTATGGCTAACGTGCCATAATATATAATGCACTTAGTAGTTGTTTAGAAGATAAGCACAACAGAACGATTCCTGAATGCAATGTGTGGTTTCCAGTGTGTTTCTTTCAGTTGCATATAGTCTTTGGCTTCAAGTTGCTGAATTAAAAGCAAATCAGTGGTTATGTTAAATACCTTCATAAATGAACCTCTTAATTACAGCTCAGCAAGGCTGAGTGAGTCTGAATTGTGGAAGAGATGGGATTCAAAGCAGACTCTGGACCCTGATCAACTGTGTGTGGTGGGCAAGTGCCATGCAGGAGGTGAGGTTCTGATGGGCTTGAAGAGCCACAGCCTGTGGAGTGTAAATCACGGCCAGCCAGAGAAGCAGTCAGCAAAGTCTCTTCTGCTGATCTTCCTTTGGCCTCAAGAAACTATCCTTGGCTGGCTGTTTGGTAGATGCACTTATATACGTTTACGTACATTACGTACTTTTAACACTACAGTATATCAGTACTTCTGGGGAAGAAATGAGCTTGCATCTCCACCGTCAGGGTTCCGTTATAGGCATGTTCTTCGGTATGCTCAGCCTTTGCAGAGAAGGCTGCTGTGCTGACAGTTTCAAGCCAGCCATTACTGGGTATTTTGTGTTGAGGTTATCTAATTTGATTTCACAATTAATGACCTAATAATAGTTGCATCTAAACTGTCCTAGGACAATAAAGTCTCCAACTGTCCACTGGAGTTCCATTTGATAAACCTGTTTTATTTCTGATGTATATCTGTCAAACTTGAAGATTTCCAGTGATGGTGACTACATCATCTCTCTAGGCAGTCTATCCCAATGCTTCAATGCCCTTATGACTAGAAAGTTTCCTAATGTCTTACCTGAATCTACATTACTGTAGTTTGAGCATGGTACTTCTCATCCTGTCCGCTCTTGAGATTGAGAACAGACTAGTTCCCTTCTGTAGCAAACTATATACTTGAAAATATTGTCATGCCCTGCCTCAGCCTTTTCTGTCTTATGCAACACAAACCTGTTCAACCCTTTTTTACAGGTCATTTTTCTCTAGAGTTGAGGTTTTAATTTTGACTGCCTTCTTTCAGACTCTCACCAGTTATCTGCATCTTTCTTGAAATCTAGCACCCAAACCTGGACATAAGGTCCTGTCTGAAGTCTTACCAGTGACAAGTTGAACACGAAAGTTACTTCAAGAACTTTGTAGACTACTGTCTGTAAGAATTTCATTAGGTTGTCAA